CTGAACCAATTGAATGTCGCAAAGTTGATGCATTGTACCGGGAAATGCGCAAACTCTTCACAGGTTATCAGTAGTTCTTTGTTTACTGATCTGAGACCCTAGAGCCACCTATATAGAAGTGGTGGAGCTTTACCTGTTTCTAGAGCGCTGTTGATTGTGCTTTTTTAACTAGCTTGGAAAATGCCAAGTATTTGGAAAATACAGACCTGAAGCATCTCAGATTGAACCTGCAAGAGCATTGTTTTTAGGACCTTGGCATGTTCTATGACAAGAAGAGCATGAGGAGACTGCAGACATAAAAGGGATTGGTGAAAGAGAGAGGCATCTGCCTTAGTGCATGCTTGGACAACTGAAGGCAAAGCACTCAAGCATATGAACAAAACTGAAAGGCTTCTTGGGTTAAAAAGAACAGTTGTCTCAGTATGGTGTCTCTGGTAGTGGCTAGCAGGTTAGGGAGCTGGAATATTGAAATAATGTAACACACGGATAGTAAATCCCCTCCTCCAGTTTCAATGAAGTAGTGAGAGAGTTCTCCAGCTTACCTGTGTAAAGCTTTATCTTAGTCTGAGATCCAAAGGTGCTCCTGGAGCACAAATAATGACAACAAGGTGAGAATTTAAAAAGTAAAAAACAAGAAAACAAAACAAGTTGATACTGAAGAAGAAATTTAATGCGATTTATCTCTACTATTTATTTATTCTGTCAGTTTTTCTATTTATTTAGCTACTCTATTAAATTGAAGGTATGATCTCTGGTAGAAGTGTGCCTTTGCTTAGTGTTTAGTTATGTTTGCTAGCACTTAATATTGTGAGATGTAAAGGTAAAAAACAAAGCTGTGGGCTCAGCCCAGATTAAAACCAGATGTCTCTTGACATGCCTGTCTTTCACTCTAATCACTAGTGCAAATTAACTGCCTGTGGTGGGTGTGTGCTGGTTCTGATGGTAGTTTTACCAGTCTGTGCTCAGTGCAATCTAAGTCAACCGTGTGAGGTGATTGTTTAATTTTGTTTTCTTTCTTTTTTTTCCTTCCTGCCCTTGTATATGATTTTTTTGTCTTTCTGGAAATATCTGACTAAAAAATCACTCTTTTTTGAAACACACCCGTATTGCAATCAATTGATTTAGATGCAGTGTTTCTTCTTTTTTTAATCTTCAAATCAACTGAAAGGCTGGATAAATGGATAAATGTGGCTTAGGAAACTATAGGTTGCAGAAATGAGAATCCATTGCATTGTGTTCAGTCCATTAAAACAAGAAGAAATAGAAGAGATACTTTGATAAGTGTTCTGCTGGTGTTAACCTTGATGGCTATTATCGGGGGGATGATGCTATATCTATTTCATTGGCTTAAGCTTTTTTCATGCTGAGAGAAATCAATACCTTGAGTCGTTGGATGACAGAGGCATCACTTCAGAATTGACGGTGGCTGTCAGATGTTGTCATTGGTTGACTTTTGTTCGCTGTTGAGATTTTAAGCTTTCATTTTTCTAAGTCTTATTCAGAGTCTTTGTAAGATTTCCCTGGGTAGCATTTTTTAGTCCAGACTTTAAACCCTGTGTCAGAGGTCAAGTGCAAAGATCTGTGAGAGTGGAGGATGGAGGAGCTCCTTCATTTACGAAAATATTCTTATTGGGCATTTGCATTAACAGCATGGCAGTGCCTTGTCTTATGGATGACTTCTCTTGCAAAATGACACCCTCTGAGACAGGTTGTTCACGGGGCTTGTAGCTTTTAGCCGTGTTAGACAAAGGGATTGGCATGCCTCAAAGTGGTTAGGGATCTCTAGGCTGGGGTTATAAAAAGAAAAAGAGGTGCAATGCTGCTTTTAAAAGGATCTGCGCTGTTCAGCTTGCACACAGTTCGTATGAAGCACTCACTATGCTGTAACTTTGGAAACAGCAAGGATGTACATCTAGGTGTTACTTGTACTTTCAGCTTGGTTTGACGTTTTTATATAGATTAAAAATGAAAGTCTTGAAAACACCAAATTAAACCTCATCTTTGCTGGAACAGACGCAGTGAAATAAGCAGGATATACAAATTCGCCTTGTCCGTATTCTGCGCTTGTGTTTCTGGAATCTTTCCTGCCTTCAAAATATATTGTATTTCCATGTTTATAAGTTGCCTTTTGCATGACCTTGTACCCCTTTATAATCACTGTTCCTCAAAGATAAATCTTGAGATAGTCTGCATCTTCAAATAGCCTGCAGTAGGCCATACCGGGAAGGGGAAGCAGGGCAGGTTTCTGTTCTGCTCTGCAATAATGGCAAAGAGGAGGTTTCTGTTCCATGGTGAATGAAGGGGGAGAGAATCCTGGTCATCTTGGGTGCTCCATCCTGGTGACAGGATTCTACTTGATAAACTTCCCCTTTGTAAAACTTGAACAGTCACAAAATTACACACTTCTGTTGTTTTTATTTAGATAACCTGCAGAGTGCATGTATGCAGATATGTTTTTCTTCTTTCAACATTTTGTGTTTCATTGTGAGTGTGACTGCAACACTCCCACAGTACTTCTTTGTGGTTATTTTTCATTATGCACTTTCCCAAAGAGATAACAAAAGTTATTTCAAGCCAAGCACCCCTGGAAGGAGTGGTTTCCAATGTGACTGCGTGCAACTGAATGTGTATCAGTCTGACAAAGCTGTGGCTGCTTGCTTCTCTTATTTGCAAAATATGTACTGTAATGAGCGTGCCACAGTGGAGAGCCTCTCATGGGGCAGTGTTTACAGCTTTATGGTGTTGATGCGTGTGAGAGACTCAATTTTGGTGGAGAATTGCAAATTTCTATTAATATTAAATAATTTTGTTGAAAAGGGAAGACCCATTCATTTCAGTTTTGTAACAGACTGGTTTTGTTTTCATGGAAGTTGTCAGGACGAAATAAATACTATTTCTTCCTTCCTTTTAATGTCAGACCTACACTCTGAAAATCTTTGTTGGTGTTTAATGAAGGATGCATTCAAAATTGCATCAAAAAGCGACTTTTTTATAGAGGTACAAGTTCATTATATCTTTTACAAAACATTCTAGTTTGATTTCCATTTTATCATGTTTTAAGGTCAAATGTGACTTTAATGTTCCATAAAGAGACAGAGATTGATAATGGGGAAAGAATGCCCCTCTAATGTGATTTATATCTATGGATTTTATGTCAGATATGAAAAGTTGCTGTTCAAATTGTAAAGGAGGATCCATTAAAGAGCACTTTAAAACATTTTACTACTTAGCTTACCTTAGACACTTGTTTTTAGAATTCTGCCCTTTCAAGCAACTCAAAAATATCAGCTTATCAAACATTTATAAAGTGCTGAAGAGAACTCAAAATCATCAGGGGTGCAAAACAGATTAATGTGTTGGAAGACACAGCTGTATTTAAAAAGAGCTATAAAAATCTCGTTTAATGTTGGTTATGATTTAGGCATCTTATTTTTTTGAGAGGGGTGGTAGAATACTTCGTGTAAGAGTACAAAAGCCAATTTTTGATGTCTCATTGACTTGGAAAGTCAGCTGCTTATTCTACACTCCTTCTGGATGACTGTTCATCAGGTGAGCATTGCTCTAAGGCATGGGAAAAATCTAGGGGGAAAAATTACAAATAAACTTGTAAAGATATTTAAATGTTTTAAATTGATATGTTATTCATCTATTGGGATACTAGTGCTACCTAATGTCTAGACAAAGCTGCACAGCCATAAATTTTTTCACTTGTGTTTTTCCTCCCTTTCTTCCTTCATTCTTTCCTCTCTCCCCCTTTTGCTCTCTGAATTGTGTGTATGTGAGTAAAATTTTTAGCCACTTGATTTCTATTTGCAACAGTTTTCTAATATTTGTGTCTCTTGTGTGTCTACTTATATATTTACATATATATATATATAGCAGTGTATATATATGCACACTAGAGTATTATTAATACTTTAAATGAAAAAAGTGTTATGGTATTGCACTACAATCTAAGCTAAAAAATACCAGTGCCTGCATCAGCTGTTCCTCATGAAGAAAAGGCAATTTTTTTTGTTGTTAGACAGACATTGTATCCATTCTACTAACTAGATCATAGAATAATCCAATCATTGACAAAGGCAGGGATGCTTTGTCTGTCGTATGTGATCTGTGGAACTGCCGAATGAAAACTGAAATTAGAAACAGGGAGTGCTGAAATGGGCAAAAGCTTTTATTGTTTCAACCAGCATTTGAATTTGTTCTAGGTCTTCATGTATGTTGCTTTGGAGTGGGAGAATTCTAAATTCGAGGTCATTTCTTCAGCTCTTTATTAAAGAAACATTTCCAGATCAAGAAGAAACAGAAGGATAAGGAAGAATGAGAATACTGTAACAGTGAATCTCTCACAGTTTAGACTTTCAGTTCTTGCTTGCTGGAATTAGGTTTCAGGTGCCTTGGAAAATAATGCATGTTTATTCAACAAGTGTATGTGCAGCTGAGGAAGTTGCTAGCTTTGCTGCGGTGGCCTGCTACCGTACTTGATGTAGGCCCTCTGGTGAAGACTGATTCAGTCTTCCTGTGTGTTTAACCTTCTGTCTGTCTGAAGGTGTGAATGTTTTCCCTTTAGTTTTTATAGTTGTATATTAATGGCAATAACAGCAAATGGTTGGCTGCTCAAATCTAAAAGTCATGAGAGTATCCTTTCTTCTGCAACTCGCTTCTGGGTTTATAGTGCCGTGTGCTTAGTTTGCTGTAAATTAAGGGTGGTTGTGTCTATGTATTTTGATATGCAGTCAGGACACTAAGCTCGTGGCGTTCGCAAGATCTTGAGTGTGTATGGCATGTGGTTAAGGAGCTCGGGACAGGCCGCCATCTTCTATGTGGCTCCGTACATGGATTTCCTGTAGGCAGCTGCATCGTTTCTCAGTCCCCAAACCTGTAAAATAGGGTAACTGTTATTTCTCAAGGGTTTTTTTTAAGTAATTCTAATGTTCTTTAAGTTCCTTTGGCTGGTGTAATTAAAGTGCATAGTAGTAAAGTCCTTATTTTCTTTCTAGTCACTGTGTGCCCAGTATTCAGCAGACAAACGAGAAGAAGAAAAGATGTGTGATCACTTGATAAGGGCAGCCAAGTATCGGGACCATGTGACTGCAACTCAACTAATCCAGAAAATTATCAACATTTTGACAGACAAGCATGGAGCCTGGGGAAGTTCTGCACTAAG